CATCACTTTATTATTTTGAGGTAGCTACTCCTCTCATAAGATTTTCATAAAGTGTTATGTCGTAGGCTCTCCAAGAACACATTTTCTCCTTATTATGAGCATTTTGATTCTTTGATCCTCCCCATTTTTCAAGGATTATTATATTTAGAATTGATTAGTCTATAATGCTTAATGCATGTCATAGACTCTATCTTTAAGGGACATTCAGTAGGAGTATTTACAACTTTTGTGTTGCTTCTAATCTCGCCCTTATGTTAGACAAACTATCATATATCTCAATCTTTGGAGAATCTATCCTTGTGCATCAATGTATATTCATTGATTATACACCACATATCAAAATCATCAGATGAAAAATATTTGGTCCCCGTCCATAAATCAATTGAAAGAAAATTTGATCATAATTTATCAGTCTGATGCATACAATCACATTTGTATGCAATATCGTATTTCATATAGACATATGAAGTTTTTTTTTCATAAACAATGATTTTACAATTTTAGACATGTAGTGTCACATAATCTTGAGTATTTATCAATTTTATCAAGATAAATCGTCTTGATTACATATTCTGAAATTGTGCTGTTAACTCAATTATTTTTGCACAAACAATTTTGAAAATGTCAAACTACACGTTGACAACAAAAATACATGTGATTATATTATAGATGCATATTTTTATAATATTACATGATAGGTGAACGGAGCCATATTCACCTTTTATACATTTCAGAATTTAGAGATTTAATGTCAACATTAGTTGATCCAATCAACAAGTCATGAGGACAAACAACAAATGATTTCTTGAAGAATCTTCTTGTTTTTCAATGTATGTCCATTACTCACTATGAATATCTTTGGGATGACCATATTATAAATGCCAACTAATAAAATTATTAGTACTCGTAAACTCCAAGTTTACTACGTTTAGTAAATTTCTGATTTACTATTATATGACTAAATTTCAATTTTATTACTCCAAGAGTAATTTTCAGATTTATTTCTTCTCAATTACTTTACCCTTTAGATGAGTAGTGATTCCATCATTGAATAAACTAATCTGAAAAAAATTGTGCATGTAAACATATTATTTGTGCCAATATTTTTGCAAACATTATGTTGCGAGATAATAATAGAAGAAACATTTGTTAGGACCATTAAATATCTAAACTATCTACTTGGTGGATGACTAGGTCTACAAATATCTGTATACGTTCCTATAATGCAGAAAATTCAATCTCAACTTTCGTTTATGGTGGTCTCACAATTAGCTTGTCTTGGTAACAAGTAGTATACAAAAATTCACCATTTAAATGAATTTTTAGTTTCTTCCATGAAAATCCATTTTAATTTTTCATAATTCGTCCAAAAACTATAGACTAACGATGTCCCAGAAAATCTTGTCAAACTAAGAAAATATTGAAATTAGAAAACTTCTTATTTAACATAGAATGTGCTGCAATTACATTAATTCTTCTCCAATACAAGCCCGAAGATAAAAAATGAAACTTTTGTATAATACATGTCTTCAAAGAGACATGCTTGGTTATACCACATTATTGACCAAGGTCAAAATCTTTCTCATGCCTAGCACAGTGGCTTAAACCTCATTCCCTTTAAAGAATGGATCCATATTTTAGCATTTATCAGAAGTTCCCATTCTTCATGAATGGAACACAAACACGAGAGCTTATAAAATTATGATAGCTAGTACCTCATTCCATATTTATGTGCATTGTTCAATCACTTGTCTTCTTTCAGACATATTATGCACTAATACAACATTCACATTTATAATAGAGTAAATTCAATATGATTCATGACTCTTCATCTAAAACACATTAGCTTTTCTTTAGTCATTATTATACAATCAATATAGTGCACTAAGACTCAAATTCAATGTCTTATCAATACAAAAGTGTCTTAGGTCATAAATCGACGGGTCTTGAACCCAATATATTATCATTATAGTCACGACCCAAAACGAATCGTGAGTGGCACCCACCCTTAGCCTACTAAGTGAGCGAACCAAAAAAATTAAACCCCAACATTTACCAATAATTCAACGATAATTAATGAAATAATGTGGAAGCTCCAAAACATATTAATGAATACAAGTAAATAAACTTCTAACGTTTAACACTTATCATCCCCAAAATCTTGAAGTCATCGCACCAAGAACATCTATCCTCGAATTTCTAAATCTAAGAGTATTTAAGAAGCTGTAAAAGTAAAAGAGATGGTCCATGTCCGAACTTCAAGACATCAAGACGTAAAGGAGAGAATCCACTACGAGCAAGGAATAATAGCTCACCCTGAAATCTGATGTGCTGGAGACTTGCTAGAGTTGCGGACGAGTCGAAGTCGATGGCACGTTTGCTGCACTCCACAAATAACAAAGAAGAAAATTACAAGTAGGGGTCAGTACAAGGAACACGCACTGAGTAGGTATCATCGGCCAACTCAAAATAGAAAGCAATATATACTGAATAATAATATAAAATTAACCACAATACATAACAGGTGAAAATCAACAAGTACAAGAACCATTGGCAATAACACCAAGCACACCTATGAGAACTCAAGCCTCTACACCATACTCATTTGGAAAATAGGTTTCTTCGAATTTGAGTATATTAACATAGTTCAAGATTACTTCAATTTATTATTATTGTGTCGGAACGTGACACGCTGATCCCCTAATACTACCGTGTCGAAACGTGACGCACCGATCCATTATTACTACAGTGTCGGAACGTGAAACTCCGATCCCCTAATACTACGTGTTGGAACGTTACACTCCGATCCCCTAATACTACTAGTTGGAACGTGACACTCTTATCCACTAATACTACGTGACGGAACGTGACACGCCGATCCATTATTACTACTGTATCGTAACGTGACACTCCGATACCGTAATACTACGTGTCGGAACGTGACACTCTGATCCATTTATCTCATTGTTTTATTTCATCAAGTCTTCTAAATGATAAGGCGTCATCTTAATAGAGAGGATTTAAGATTTAAGATTCAACAGTCTCATCAATCTAATCCACCACAATTACACAATCACAACATACAATCACACAATGAAGCATATAGAAGAATTTACAATATCATAAATACATATCAATTGGTATTTAGAGTTTATCTATCACATAGAAATAAACCATAACCTACCTCTAACAAAGAATAGTGATCAAGCAAGATACTTCCCCAATGCCTTTGCTTTCCTCTTCGTTCTCTCTCTCTCTCGCTCGTTCCCCCCTCTCTGTTCTTTTTCTTTTTCTTCTCCAGATTCTTTTTCTTTTACCCTAATTATCATATAATTCATTATGATAAAAGTAACCCACTATTTATTTCCCTATTATCTTCTTTAACACCCAAGTAAATAAGTTATTAAACTAACCCCACTAATTTCATAATTATAATCATGAATAGTCCAAAACACCACTTTAAAAACATTATCAGAAATCCGACACAGTAGGGGTTACGCAACTTGTGACGGCCCGTCGTATCTGCGACGGTCCATCGTACAGGTCCGTCACAAAGTTCAGAGAGTCAAATTCAGTAAAGAGATTTGTGACGGTCCGTCGTAACTACGACGGTCCGTGCTGCAGTTCTGTCGCGAAGTTCAGAGAGTCGATCCAGCACCCAGATTTCAGAGTTGAAGTGTTTTAGAACGAAGACGCTCGACGGACCATCGTGCCTATGACGGTTCGTCCTACTTGTCGTCGAGGGTAATGAGGAGAACAGTAGAAGAAATTACACAAGTATGGGATGACGGAGTCCATAACGGTCCGTCGTGACCATGACGGTCCGTCGCGTGGTCCGTCGACCCAGTCAGTTTTTATCAAAAATAATTCTACTGCTCGAACCGACTAAACAGGTTGTTACACTCTACTAGACTCAGCTCTTGTACTCGTGAGACCGATGAACCTAGGGATATGATAGCAAGTTGTCACGACCCAAAATAACGAGTTGTGATGACACCTAAGTTTCAAACCGATAGGTAAGACAACATAATAAATTTCACCAATTCAACTTAATGTAAAAAGGTAAGTATCTAACTAGTATCTAACATACTAAGTAGTCAAATTAAATGTGGAAAATAGAAATAAAAGGAGGTTCCAACTTAAAGTTAAGAATTAATGCATCAACTTGAATATTACAAATATTTCATCAATTCTTGTTACTGTCAAAAGTATTAATTGACAATGAGTGCCATCAGAGAAAATTGTAGTATGCCTTAGCAATTTGAAATTAGGTTACGTGAATAACATCTAGTAAACATTCTTTGTAATCAGTCGATTATAGTTTTTATTATTTTCTTATTGTTACATTATAATCTATGTTTTTGATATATTAAGATAGACAATAACATATTAAATATATTAAAGTATACGAATAATATTAGAATTATGGTGTTGGAGAAATTGGAACTTAAACCTAAACTTGACACTTGAAGTTAATTAAAAAAAAGAGTTTACATGTTAATTGACATCAATATTACGAGCTTGATTACATATCTGAGAGAGTTTTTGTATTTAGACTAGACCTATAGTAATTTGAGTATTGTTAGGTTTTAAATCTTATTATGACTAATAATATCAATAGATTGCTTTGAGTTGGAAGTCCAACGAAAAGAGGAAGACTCAAGTCACAGAGTGATTGTTTGACTATTTGAGGGAAGTGGATTTCTAAACTCTTGTTAAGTGTATGAAATGCGTGTATTTCCTTGTACTATATGTTTGGGAGTAACGGGATTGGCGATGGGTTGACTTGTCCACATTAATTAATTCTAATAATGAAAAAAACGAAAAACAAAAGGCAATTTGATTAATTGTGTATGTGTGATGTGTTGAGAAAGGGTTGAAGGCTTGTTGAATCATTGTTGATGTGATTTCATGTTTGTGTGGTTGTGAACTGTGCAATGTTATGGAAATGGTCATCTCCTCATTATTTGTGTGAACTTGTCATCTGCGTTATAATGAGGCATTGGTTGTGACAAGTGTTATGTGCATTGAGAAAGAAAGAGTACTTAAGAGGATGTACCATTTCGAGCGACGTATCGCGCACCACGATGGATACTATATTTCGAGGGACGTATCGCGCACAGCGATGGTTACTTTTATCGAGGGTCGGATCACGCGCCGCGACAGATGAATGGACAGATATGTCCCACATGGGTCCCGGACAGAGAAACAGCGGGTGTGTATCTCTAGGTCAGACACGCATCATTATACTTGACATTGTATTCCATTGCATTGCACATACTTATCATTAGTGAACTTGATATGGTGTTTTGCTGATCTTCTTATTGCCTTTCTACGGAACATGTGATTGATCAATAATGACCTTGTTATTGCGGATATTTAATTTGTTAAAGTGTTGTTGTTGAGGATATGTAATTTTTCTAAGTATTGTTGTTGAGCTACGTGCTATGTAATCTGTGAACTGTTAGGTTGGGTTGATTTTAATGCAGGTTGTAGTTGTGGAGATTCGATTGGGGGTGGTAGGAGTACCCGTATTTCATCCCCTTTGCTTGTGTTTAGAGGTTTACTTGCTGAGTACCGTGTGGTTTTGTACTCACCCCTTGCTTCTACAAATTTTTGTAGGCTATGAGCCTGGATTTTTGTTGTACATGTCATTCTCTTCTTTTACGAGGGTTCATGGAGATTTGTGAGGTAGCTGTTTCCATCTCAGCAGACTTTCTTCTCCATAATTATGATCTTGTTCTATTCTAGAAACAAGTTCATTTGAGACTTGAGTTTTTCCTTTGAATCTTGTAATACTTTAGAGGCTTGTACACGTGACTACATGGTTTTGGGGGTTTTATTAAGTTACTTATATTTTATTTCCGCACATTATTATAATGGTTGAGTATTAGGCTGACTTGTCTTGGTGGGATAAGTCGAGTGCCATCACGTCCATTTTTGGGTCGTGACAACATGGTATCAGAGCCCCAGGTTCATAGGTGTCACGTGTGTACTAGTCGAGTCTAGGTAGAGTCTCGAGGATCGGTACGGAGACGTTTGTAGTTATCTTTGAGAGGCTATAGTGACTTTTAAGAAAAATCTTCACTTTTTGAATCTCTCTCGTGCATCTTTTGTTTGCTTTTGATTCACATCACTTCATTCCATTCTCTCTCACTTATGTGATGACTCATGCGTAGTTTTTCATGTGAGTATTTCATGTCGTCTATGATTTGAAGGTTAGATCTGGTATTACGTTGAGAGTAATATACTTATGAAAAAAAATGGGTGGTTAGATTTAAAAAGTTCAACAATTTTAATGGGCTGTGTAAGATTAGTTACCCTAGTAAAGTCAATAGTTTTTGTGTAGTATATACAATAATTAGAGTGGTTTAAACATTGAAGGTGAAATGATTAAAGGGAGAGACATTTAATGGACATGTGATTTTGTAAACTGCAATTAGTAAAGTTATCATAACATTAATGAGTTGCTCCAGAAATTATGATAATAGTGATGCATCAATTAAGGTTAGAATTTGTACCATAACAATACTGATGCTTACTTTGTTAGAGTTATGGAGTGTGTTACTTTTGTTATTGACCTGATCTACAAAGGGATGCAAATCTCTTTGGATGAGAGGTCGTAAAGTTTTGATAGTGTATGTTAGTTACCTAATGAGACAGAAACGTGTAGGTTATTTAGGTACAATATTCTCGATAGGTATGATGTGTTCTAGTGGTGGATTTAACATATTTCATAAGGTGATACTAATGGTACATGAAAATTGATATGTTTATGTCAAGTGCGATTACAAACCACTTAAAGAGTTATCAATTGTATCACATGTTCATATAATGAGATTCAATGTTGTATTCACATTTGAGAAAACAAATAGCTTGTTAATACACACGAATGAGTTAAGCATTATTTATAAGGAAGCATTTAGTGGTGGATCGTTGATACAATATTGATGATTTAAGATTAAAAGTGTATTCCAAGGATCCTAAATAAGGACATTGATTTCTTTTTAAGGTTCAATAGAATAGATAAATACCAAAATTACGAGCATATGGATAAATAAATTCCCAAAGAATATACTTGTATAAAGGTAATTGAATATTTTTGTAAAAAGATCATATAAAAGTGGGGTAGTCCTTTGGATTTGATTAATATAACCGAGTTTGAGGTGTCTCATTGATGAAAATGTTGTCTTCATGGTGATGATAAGATCTAATTGAGCATGATGGTAATAAGTGTTCGTTATGGATTGTGATTGAGATGCATATATATAATAAAAATTGTTGGTTAAATGACTTTTGTATTATAATGGTGACTTGCGAGTATTTAAGGTTGTGGTTTGATACTATTTAGTGAGTATCTTGATTGCATGAAAAGTTATAGGGGTTGTTGAGGCATTTCTTGAACAGAACAGAAAGGAATTAAAGTCATAAATGCAAAGAATAAGTATGATGTAATCTAGCCTTCGAAAAGAGATGAGAAAAAAAGTATTTTATTCTGATTGCAAGGGCTAAGGAGGTATTTTCAGAGAAGTTGATAATTGGGTTATGAGACACATTGTTTTCATCTATTTTGCTCTACTTATGATAATAGTGTCACGAGCTCATCAGATTGGTTAAAAACAATTGGGTAAGCCTTGACAAAGAAATCTATACATGTTTGACTCGAGTGTGGTGATAACATCTTATGATTTTGAGTTTGATAATTGGTACGGTTGAATTTTTAAAGAAGGATATGGTAAGATCAATGAAGAGGCAATGAATGATAGGTTAAGATACGTGGATTCATAAAGATATCCAATGTATGAGCAAATGTTGATAGATAATAGAATCGTGTCACATGGTTGGGTAAAAATTTAAGTTTTTCATGGTGATTTTATGTTCATGGTAGTATGTTTTGTCAAGGTGTGGATTGGTAAGGTAAGAAATGATCGATCATATGGAATGTTGAGCATTACAAAGGATTGGTATATGTTTTGAGTCATAAAGTGTGTTATTTTGACTTTCAAAATACCTAATGAAGTGTTTCATTTCAAGTTTTTGTTTTGTGTATAAGGTAAAAATGTCCAGCTTTGTTGGCCAAAAAATAAGATTGGTGAGCCAGTCAACCGAAGGAACATGGGTTTGGTGTATTGAAGAGTTCAAGATATTTACAACTTTGTGTCATGGGAATATTTTTTTAAAAAAAGTGAAGGAATAAGAACTTTCATATAAATTCTTGGTTTTTATTGGAAGGATTAATTAATTTTTGCCTATGAGTTTAGTATAATTCTGAGATGTGAACTAGTTTAGTACAAACATACCAAAAAAATAATAATTTATCATAGACTTTTCTCAAGATTGAGTTTTTGTTTGGGTAACAATCAACTAGGTAGGAGAGATTCTATGTAGTTATGTTGAGCTAGATTGCTTAAATTATGATAGGTAATTTGTTGTTGGGCCAATACATACTATTATGATCTGTTACATTAGCATTTGATGGTGATCAGAGATAATGAGCTTATGGTATACTGAGTAAATTGAGTGACCAATTTTTTTAAGTGTTGATATAAGATATATGATTACTGTGTATATTAGTTAAAATTTTGTATGTGAAAGATTGCGTAGAGTAGCGTTGGGTGTACTTTAATTATTTTACCTCGATGAAAAGTATTATTAGACTTGTAAGTACCTCTATCATTCTTATGTGTGCTGTGTATCTTTCATAGAACTATTAAATGGAAAGAGAGAGCGCCATTGTTTCAAATTTTTGGAGGTGGTAATGTATTTTTTTAAGGATAGTTTGATACTAGTGGCGGTTTGAGAGCATGGTAAATGGCTTGAATGGTTATAATGTTTTATTCGTATTAATAATGTTGGTACTAGTGAAGAAACTGCGAGAATCATATGAATTTGATGAATTAAGTATATTTACTATTGTAATGGGGACTATACTGGTTGATTGTAGGTGGCTAAAAATCAAAGAGATGGAGTCATATAAATGGAATGTTTGATATTGACGCTATGGAAAGAGTATATGGTGTTATTCGGTTTTTTTATGTACATTCTTAGGTGACCACCTACTTTGTTTTGGACATGATTTGAAGTACAATTCGATGTATATGTCCACGTGTGTTTCTACATATATCGGTAAATTTTTAGTGGTGGATTGGATGTACCGATCCTCTTATGTCCTCTTAATATGGTAGATTCTTGGATATAATTGTTCATTTCAATTATGAAAGAATTGGTGTTGTTTGGAAAATTAGAAGTATACCATTGTTTCTTTATGGACGACCTTGCTTATGAGAACTTATAGAAAAGCTTTCGTGAATAGTTATAGTTATCCGACAATTTTATCAAAGGTTCTGCATCCTAGAGTGTATCGCTTGTTGGGTATTTACTTGATCTTATTCTTTTTTTGACCTGCCAAGCATCAAGATGATGGATGATATAAGAAAAAGAAGAACAAGAAATACCAACATGGCTGATGTGTGTCGGCCTTGGCTGATGCTGCATTCAGTTGGCCGACGTCGCATGCCAGATGTGCACATTCCACGTGTGGGTTAGATAAGTTTGATTTTCCCTTGATGAGAACCCAATATATAAAGATCGGATTTATATAATTTAAGTTTGTTAAAGAATTGTGTTGTGAAAAGGAAATTTTGATAAGATATATGATGACTTGTACAATATGTGTATGTGGTAGTTAGTTCAGGTTCATATCTGATTGTAGTAGGTATTTAGTCAAAATGTCTCTTAGTTATGTGAGAAAAGATTCGTCATGATGGCTGTATTATGGTCAAGTGGATTTCAGTTTAGATTGGGTTCATGAGTTAGTTTGTGGCATTATAATCACTCTTGATTAATGAATCTTGCAAATTTTAATTTCCAAAGTTTAATTCTTAATAATTACTCTGATGGAATGGTCTTGAAGATGAGCCCACTTGGAGAGGTAAATATTGAATCTACAGGTTATACCTTAAGCTTTTGGTAACGTTGGCTAATATTCTTTCTTCTTGTATATGTTCGACGATGAACATGTTTTTTAGTGGTGTATAATGTAATGACTCGGAAGGTAATTTTTAAAAATTTTAAAAAAAATTATTTTTACCCCTCTCGATAGTTGCCTCGAGTTACTGTTGATCTATTGATAAAGTTGATTTGAAAATATTGAACTATTTATTTAACTATGATTAGTTAATTGACGAGTGTTTATAAAATAATTAATTTAATTAATAATAATAGGCAAAATCTAAAATTTATTTAACACTCTATACTATTTGGTTTATATATATTAATAAAAATTAGTATAATATACCACTTTTAGAACCTAATTAATTCATAAAATATAATAAAGAAAAGAAAGAACCTAATCTATCATGCGTGAGGCAGCGGCGGCAAACAAACAAACTATTACGTAATCAATTCTCGTACATTAAAAAAAAGAACTTTGTTTGTAAACTTGATTGTTGAATACTTGAGTACTCAATATTTTTTTTTATACATATAGATATATTAATTAGTATGTGATGATGGATAGAAATAAAAGGAGGTTCCAATTTAAAGTTAAGAATTAATGCATCAACTTTAATATTACAAATGTTTCATCAATTCTTATTACTGTCAAAAGTATTTATTGACAATGAGTGCCAATAGAGATATTTGGAGTGTGCCTTAGCAATTTGAAATTGGGTTACGTGAATAACATCTAGTAAACATTCTTCGTAATCAGTCAATTCTGGTTTTTATTTTTTTCTTATTGTTACATTATAATCTAAGTTTTTGATATGTTATGATAGACAATTAATATTAAGTGTATTATAGTATATGAATAATAATAGAATTATGGTGTTCGAGAAATTGGAACTTAAACCTAAACTTGAAACTTGAAGGAAATTTGAAAAAAAAAAGAGTTGACATGTTAATTGACATCAATATTACGAGCTTGATTACATATCTGAGTGAGTTTTTGTATTTAGACTAGACCTATAGTAATTTGAGTATTGTTAGGTTTGAAATCTTAATATGACTAATAATATGAATAGATTGCTTTGAGTTGGAAGTCCAACGAAAAGAGGAAGACTCAAGTCACAGAGTGATTGTTCGACTATTTGAGGCAAGTGGATTTCTAAACTCTTGTTAAGTGTATGAAATGCGTGTATTTCCTTGTAGTATATGTTTGGGAGTAACGGGATTGGTCATGGTTTGACTTGTCCACATTGATTAATTCTAATGATGAAAAAAAAGGGACAACAATAGGCAATTTGATTAATTGTGTATGTGTGATGTGTTGAGAAAGGGTTGAAGGCTTGTTGAATCATTGTTAATGTGATTTCATGTTTGTGTGGTTGTGAACTGTGCAATGTTATGAAAATGGTCATCTCCTCATTATTTGTGTGAACTTTTCATCTGCTTTATAATGAGGCATTGATTGTCACAAGTGTTATGTGCATTGAGAAAGAAAGAGTACTTAAGAGGATGTACCATTTCGAGGGACGTATCGCGCGCCGCAATGGATACTATATTTCGAGGGACATATCGCGTGCCGTGATGATTACTATTAACGAGGGTCGTGTCGTGCACCGTGACAGATGCATGGACAGATACGTCCCCAATGGGTCCCGGACTGAGAGACAGCGGGTGTGTATCACTAGGTCAGACATGCATCATTATACTTGACATTGCATTCCATTGCATTCCACATACTTATCATTAGAAAACTTGATATCGTGTTTTGCTGATCTTCTGATTGCCTTTCTGCGGAATTTGTGATTGATCAATATTGAGCTTGTTATTGTGGATATTTAATTTGTTGATGTATTGTTGTTGAGGATATGTAATTTGTTAAAGTGTTGTTGTTGAGGATATGTAATTTGTCTAAATGTTGTTGTTGAGCTACATGCTATGTGAACTGTGAGCTGTTAGGTTGGGTTGATTTTAATGCGTAGTTGTGGAGGTTCGGTTGGGGGTGGTAGGAGTACCCATATTTTATCCCCTTAGCTTGTGTTTAGACGTTTACTTGCTGAGTACCGTGTGGTTTGGTACTCACCCCTTGCTTCTACAAATTTTTGTAGGTTATGAGCCTGGATTTTTGTTTTACTTGTCATTCTCTTCTTTTCCGAGGCTTCATGGAGATTTGTGAGGTAGCTGTTTCCTTCTCAGCAGACTTTCTTCTCCATAATTATGATCTTGTTCTATTCTAGAAACAAGTTCATTTGAGACTTCATTTTTTCTTTTGAATCTTGTAATAGTTTAGAGGCTTGTACTCGTGACTACCTTGTTTTGGGGTTTTTATTAAGTTACTTATATTTTATTTCCGCACTTTATTATAATGGTTGAGTTTCAGGCTAACTTGTCTTGGTGGGATAAGACGAGTGCCATCACGTCCATTTTTGGGTCGTGACATCTAGTAACTAACATTAATGGAAAAATTGAAAAGTTTATTTCGGAAAAAGTTATTTCAGTAAAAGTTCAAAGGAAAAGGTGAGGAGGATACTCGGGAGAGTGAGGACATGAAGATAAGATATTCACATTTAAGAGTCCAATTACTTTTATTCCTTTACCATTCGAGGACATACTTTTGTTTTAGTGGTAGATGATGTAATGACCCGTCAGATCAAATTGAGTACTACGACTATTTAGACCATTATTGTAATCTAATATAGAAAATTTTAAACTATTCGATAATTACGAATATTTAGTTGACGAATATTTATTAAATATAATTATTATAGTGATAGCTAATGCGCTAATTATTAAATATCTTTTACTACAGTGATAGCTAATGGGCTAATTTATTGAATATCTTTTACCACCTAACTCATATAATTTAACTAAAGGGCAACTTTCACATATAGCAAACCAAAAATTTATATTTGTATGCTACAGAAAATTTTTCATAATTGCGCTCCATAGCAAACATAAAACTGTATAATTCGCTATATATATACAAGTGTATAATTCGCTGGCCTAAATTGTATAATTCGCTGGCCTTTTTCGCTGCAATTGTATAATTCGCTATCCTATTTCACTGCAATTGTATAATTCACTGCCTATTTCGCTGCAATATTAAGTGTATAACAAGAAGATATATGTTTTTCTCTCGCTTTATACAAAAACAGAAACACAATATATATACACTTCTGTTGTATAAAGCTAGAGAAAATTGTATTTCACTGCAATTGTATAATTCGCAATTGTATAATTTGTTGACCTTTTTCTCTGCAATATTTGAAGTAAAATCTTTGTATATTGTATAATTAAGTGTATAACACGAAGATATATATTTTTGCATGTGTATATACAATTTTCTCTCGCTTTATACAAAACAGAAAAAGAATTATACACTTCTGTGTATAAAGCGAGAGAGGCGAGCGAGAATAGAGAGTGGCGAGCGAGATTTCTAAGAGACAGACGCTGGCAAATTTTAGCTAACGTTTTCTAAGGAGCACAATTAAATCAAACCCTAGCTATTCCATTTATTTGAGGTTTTTAGTTTGCTATTATATACAATTTTCCCAAAATTAAATTAGTGGAATGTTTCACTTTGAATACCCAGTTATTTATTGGGAAGGGAAAAGAAAAAAAGAGGCAGAACATACATGTGAAGATGAACGCCAGAGAAAGAAAAACATTGTGCTTAAATTTCAGGCAGGAGATGTATATATATACCTTTCCATTTTAAGTAGCTATTCTATGATAGATAATCATAACTTCTTATTTTTATATGTTTTGTTGGGAAAAGGGTTGGTTTTCAAATTGTTATAGTATTGATTTTATAAATTCTGGGTAGTATTACTTTGTTAGTTAGAATCGACAACAACTAGTAGATAGTAGGGGCTAAGTATATTCATGATAGGTGATAACAATGTGATAGATGGGGGGATGTTACTTATTAACATATTATAGATAGATTCTCATGTAACATTCTGCCAAAAAAATGAAGAAAATTCACAAGTGACTGAAATTGGTTTGTATTTTGATACCTAGTTTGGATTTTTCCTTATTATTATCACACTTCATATTGATATATTAATATATGTATAAGTGAAGGTTAGGTTATTAGAACTTATGAATACCATTTGAATATTAGATTAACCTTAGGCTTTAAATTTAGAAGCTTGACTATATTAGGATGAGTTTTGAACCTGGGTTAGATTTATAGTAATATGAGTGTTTATGGATTCACTTGCTTATGAGTATTGCATATTTGGTAGATTGGAAACATTATGAAGCTTTACGAAAGGGAAAAATTAAATCTAGAGGATTTAAACACGTGTTCGACATTCCAG